CCGACCCCATCACCCTCCCCTTATTTCTCTCCTGGGTCTCCGACTGTTGGCTTCAGGGAACTCTCCAATGTCTCCCCTGTCGAAATCTCCTTTACCTTTTTACCAACCATACTTCTATATCATGATGATACTTCCCTTGTTACTCCTTGTTAATATCATCCCCCTTATGCCCTCACAACCCTCCTATAGGTGGGGTGTTTTTACCTATCCGGAACTTTTAATGGACACACCTCTATCATATCCTCTACCCCTTGCCCCATTGTTGGGTGCCTAAATCAAGTCACCTTAAATTCCCCTCTTTCAACACCCTCCAAGCCTCTACGCGGATTACTCCCACCATTTGCTTTTTATATGACCGAACCGACAACATATGCTCCCAAACCTCCCCCAACCAATATGGAGGATGCCCCATCACTATTGTAACAGACACTGGCTCAACCTATACTGCTTCACAGGACCAAGGATGGTCCGCTTCTGCTTAAAAAATGGCAACTTTACCCTTACTGTCCCTGATCCATGGGATCCCCGCTGGCAAACCGGAATAAAGGGCAAACTGTATCAAAACAGCCATTTCTCTAACCCCATCGCCTCTTCAACCATCTATCGAACCTATGAGCCCTCTATGTCTCCTTCCCTCTCCAACCTTAAAGATCTTACCCAAGTAATCACGGACCAAGAAGACCAGCTCAACACACAACTACAGACACCCCCTGCACAACATCCCTTCTCATGGCTTACATTAATCAGACAAGGAGCGATCCTGCTCAACCACTCAGGCTTAACCAACCTGTCACACTGCTTTCTTTGTGCATCCCTTCAGCAGGATCCAGTAATAGCCGTCCCATTACCCACCCCCTTTCCCAACACCACTAACTCCATCAACCACCCCAGAAGTCAAATCTCTCTACAGATTCCCATCCTCACTGAGACCCCTCAAAGCAACACGTCTCACCCAATATGCTACTCCTCTCATGCCTCCCCAACTTGCCCCTCCCCCCTGCCTATGCCTAGCCACCACCCTCCCCCAGGGGGATTCTATTGGTGTAATGGCACAGCTTATAAACAAATGCCCCAAAATGCTTTTATCGGTCTCCCAGTCACCATTCCCCCAACTCACCCTATACGGACAGGAAGAACTCCATCAACTCCTCGAATTCCGTCTCCAAAAATGAGCCGTTTTCCTCCCACTAATGGTCGGACTATCCCTAGCCACGTCCCTATGGGGTTGGGACCAGCTCCCTTGCACACTCCATTACCTCCTCCAGGGACGTGTCAGATAGGCTCCAAATCACAATAGAAGCCTCAGCAACCTCCCTATCTGCCTTACAAAGGAAGATCAAGTCCCTATCACAGGTCACTCTACAAAACCGACAAGCCTTAGATCTCCTAACGGCAGAAAAAGGGGGAACATGCCTGTTCCTGAGGGAAGAATGTTGCTACTACCTCAATGAATCAGGCTTAGTTGAAACCAATATAGAACACCTAAAGGAAATCCAAAAAACTATCCACCAGCCCAGGATCCTCAGACCCCCTAACCTCCTGGTGGCAATCGCCCCTCTTAACTTGGCTCCTCCCCATAGTCACCCCACTAGTTGCTATCTGTATAATATGTTCTTACCTTGTTTTCTCCGTTTCGTACGGAAACAAATTCAGGAAGTTTCCCGGGTCGCATTTCATCAGATGGTGGTCCGGCCCTATTCCCGCATTCCACCCTCAGAACCCACATACTATGGCCTCGCCCTTACACCGCAGGAAGCAGCCAGATCAGATCCATCGCCCATTATCACCAATAAGAGGTTGGAATGTTAGGATGTCCCTGGAAGGGGGCGGCTCTCTCGCCAGCGCGCCGGAACAAACTGAAGGTCAACCAATCACCAAGCGCCAGCACAATCCAAGGGAAAGCCCCGAGCGGCTCTCCAGAACGAACTGAAGGTCAACCAATTACCGAGCGACAGCACAACATGGCACGCGAGAAAGACCCACCGGAGCCTAAACCCGGAACTGCTACAGCTTAAAAACCCTATCCCACCATACCAGGGCTCGACTTCCCTGACTCCCTCCTTGAGTCACGGAACCTCGCCCGGAACCTTAGTTCCCAATAAAGCCTTAAACTGCAAAAATTGTTTTTGACTCTAACTCCTAACTTCACCCCGCAGAACGCCTGACACTAACAAATTTTACCTGAATATAATAGAACAAAGGAACTGCAGTGAACCCGCAAAGAATCGTTAGCTTTTCTATAAATATGTCCTTGTCTCAACATACATTGTTTTAGAAAATTTTTCTCTGGAATTCAGTAAAGTAATGATGCTAACCATTCAGCATCATTATGCTATTAAACAACCATGTTTCAGATTTAGGACTTTCCCCTACTATGTATCAGGCTGAGGATTAGCATTGTCCCATGTCCTCCCATGTCTGCTCCACATCTACCAATTTCATCCCAGCAGGTGTTCTAGTAATTCTTCAGTCAAAAAAAAAAAAAAAAAAAAGATTTATGATACTGTTTCCTTCTCTCTAGATCTGGAGAAATTTGTGAGACTTTTCAGGGATTTACTGACTTTTCACTGTGGTTTCGGGTGTATTGGGCAGGATTGCAAGCCTGGTTCCACCTCTCTTCCTTACTCTTCTGGCCAATAGATTTTAAAAGTTTTGCATTAGTTTGTGATTATGCATGCATGTATGCGTGCGTATATGATTATATGTATGAGTATATATGCATATATAAAGTATGTATGCATATATGATTATATGCATAATGTGATTATGTGCATATATGCATACTCATGGTTTACTTACGTGTGTGTGTGGGTGGGTGGGTGTTTAGTAAGTGGCTACCATTGAACTATTTTCCCATTGATTCAATTTAAAATTGCCAATTGAGGGGCACCTGGGTGGCTCAGTCGGTTAAGCATCCGACTTCAGCTCAGGTCACGATCTCGCGGTCCGTGAGTTCAAGCCCCGCGTCGGGCTCTGTACTAAAGCTCAGAGCCTGGAGCCTGTTTCAGATTCTGTGTCTCCCTCTCTCTCTGACCCTCCCCCGTTCATGCTGTGTCTCTCTCGGTCTCAAAAATAAATAAAACGTTTAAAATAAATAAATAAATAAATAAATAAATAAATAAATAATAAAATTGCCAATTGATGTTCATTTTATCACAAATGTACAGGTCTTTGCCTTCTTTTTTAATGTTTGTATATTTAATTGCTTTAAATTTTTTTTATTATGCTGGCTAGAGCCTCCAGAACCCCCAGAACATGCTTAAGCAAGTAACTATTGTTTTCCAGTCTTTAAAGAAATCTTTTAGTAGTAGTGCAAAACATCTGAAGGTTGCAGTGAAAAATTAAGGTTCCCTTAACATCCTCCCATCCTAGAGGTAGCTGTTATCTTCACGGGTCTTTCTTACATATATACATGCACAGATAAACATGCTTCTAGTTACTTTTTACAAAAATGAAAACTCACAAGATACAGTTCTATGATTTGCTTTTCTTACCCAATATTCCATGGAGATCTATATCCCTCTACAAAAATTGTCATTCTTTTTAAAAACTACACAGTATTTTACCATATAGATGTTCTATAAATTACCTGTTTCTATATAGATGGGCATTTCAGTTGTGCTTAATACCTAGCTGCTAAAGGCAATGATGCAATGGTCACCTGTATACAAGAACCTTTGTGTATACCCATCAATATTTGTGTAGGGGAGTGTCCTAGAAATGGAAATTTTGTGTTACAAAATATACATTTGAAGTTTATACACATAATTTTGCTATTGCCAAATAGTCCTTGAAACTGGTTGTATCAGTTTACATCTTCTCTGATTTTGCAGAAGTAGGCCTGTTTCTTCATCGCTTCCAATACTTCCATATTTTAACCACTGAATAAATAAAAATTAACCAAGTGCTATTAGACATTAACCCTCTCAAGGGGGGGAAAAAAAGAGTTGCTCACAGGTAGTTAAATTGACTTACTCATGATTTACCTGAAGGTTCCTACTGACAATCCAATAACGACGTTAACAGTTAATGAAATCATCAGTGACAAGTTACTCAAATAGTTGGTGAAGGATAAGAGACAAAGCATGGGTAACAAGCCACTACCACCATTCATAGGAGAGTGTGTCAGGGAACATTAGGGCCGTCACTCACCACTTAGGTGCTATCACAGCATATGTCTTTCCTTTATAGCTCTCCCACTGGTCTGATATTTTGTTTGTGTGTATGATTCCTGGATTTGTAAGTCTTTGAATGTAAATGTCTGTGTCTTCCACTGCAGCGTAAGCTCCATGAGAACAGAGACATTCTCATCTTGCTCATTATTTTCCCCCAGCATCCTTCCCAGTGGCTGTCACAGGGAAGATGGATGAAAGAGTTTGGACTTTATTCTGTGTATCAATTAGAACCTTTTATTGTTATTATCATCCCCGTTACAGACAGAGTTAGGCATCACATAGTTTGAGAAAAGTTTAAAGCCTGAACACACGAAGAGCCTTGGGTGTTAAACTTCTTGGACAGAATTGTGATTCCTTTGCGCAGGGTGTTCATCAGCATTGTATAACAAGCTCTCCAAGTTGATTGCCTTCTATTCAAAATCACACACTTTGCTATGTTATGACCCTTTGCCATAATGAGCTATTCTTAGGAGTTACTATGACCGAAAAAACCTATTGCCCTTCACCACTACTCACCTCCCGCCATACTTGTGAATATAGACTTCTAATCTAACAGCCAGTCAAGGAAAGAGAGGGTAATGGTCTCCTTGGGTCTGCCTGGAGAAGGCTTCCTCCTGCCCTCTGGCATTCAGCTGTTGGTAAATGACAAAATCTTACTGTATACTTTGAGTCTGTATTTGTTTCTTTATTTCCCTCAAGACATAGGTAATAGAAAATCCAACTCATATGGGCTAAAACAATGAAAATTAATTCTTATAACTGACTTAAATGTTGGCTTGATCCTAGTAACTCAAACGTGTCATCATAGATCTGGTTCCTTCCTACCTCTCTTCGGTCTTTCTCAGCTTTATCTTAAGATTGACTCCCCTTATGGATTCAAGGTGACTTCCAGATGCTTTCTTCCTAAAAGAGAAAGAGAGAGCTAGAAGTAGAATTAGTACTATCAAAACAACATGGTTTCTCCCCAAAGGGAAAGAGTTGGAATGAATGTCCTATAAGTCGATAACAGCTGGCCTAATATTGCATTCGGTGAGCACCTACCTTCGGTCAGGGAAGTATTACTACCCCCATCTTACAAATGAGGAAATTGGAATATGTCCGAAGTTGTACAACTAAGATTGGAAGAGGCATTGGTAGATAAACTGAGGAGTTTCACAATTAAAACAAAACCATTACATACTGACAGTGACTGAGGTTTTTTAAGGTGGTGTGGTATGTGTAAAGCAATGTTTTGGCTTCCTTGGAAGCACTCCACCAGACAACTAGATCAATCATCCAATTTCTGTATATCACCAATCAAAGGACATTGATATCCCTGAAAAGTGTTCTTCACTCTCCCACATCATCTCCCCACCACTATTCTAAAACAGGCATTCTAAAGCATCTAAAACATTAAATTTTTTCATCATAGTTGCCAACAAGAAGCATAGATACAAATTCAGCTTAGTCAAAAATAGAAAGTAGAGATAACATTCAGAGACTCCATTATTAACGTGACACAGGAAACAAATAAAACTGAAATAATCCCTCAGATTATAAGATAAAATTGTCTTCTTTAACACGGCCTCCAGTAGTTCTCTGGATCCTATTGCCTTCTACCTATTCAAGGAGTTTTCTGCTGTAATTATTTCTTCTTACTCTTGCGCTGTCAAATTTCCTCCTCTAGTAGACCACGCCTATCAGTATAAAAGAATGCTATCATATTTCTCATTAAATTGTCCTGTAAACCCCACATTCCCTCCAAGGAATAGTGTCTGACTTGTGGGGGGTACTATGTATTTGATGATGGATAAATGAATGAATGAATGAATGAATGAATGAATGACTTGATAGTCACCCTTCTTCTTGCATCTGCTAAGTCACTAATATCTATAGATTCTTCATGATGACTTTCATGTCTTGTCTTGCCTTCTATTTTCATTACCATAACCCCAGGGAACCTTCTCCCAACTTCTAGGTGGGAGTCCAGTCCAGTCCTCACATCTGCCCTGAACGTTAATGTCAGTTTAAGCTCCTAAATTTCACTTACCGTTGAAAGTGAACCCCACTCTCTCTCTCACTCTGTTTTCAGCTTAATATTCGAAAAGCCAAGGATTCTCTGTTGCCTTTTATATAAGTACAAAATCCTTAGCTCAGTTTTCAGTGGGCTTCACATTATGATATTAAAATATCTTCAAACATTATTTCCAGTTATTCTTCTAACAGAAGCTCTCTTTCCACTCTCTTTGGACTACTGCAGGTCCGTTTTTTTTTTTTTTTTTAATTTTTTAAATGTTTAATTAGTTTTGAGGGAGAGAGAGACAGAGTATGAGTGGGGGAGAGGCAGAGAGAGGGAAACACAGAATCTGAAGCAGGCTCCAGGCTCTGAGCTGTCAGCATAGAGCCCGACGTGGGGCTCGAGCTCATGAACCATAATATCATGACCTGAGCTGAAGTCAGATGCTCAACCTACCGAGCCACTGAGGGGCCCCTGAAGGTCCACGCTTAACTGCAGATCCTTACTCACATTCTTGCTCCAGCCTCTCCAAATTTGGCCTAAATTACAAGGCTTACCTTAAAGCCCACCTTATTTTATTAATCTTACTCCAGCCCTGCAGCCCAGTGACACCTCTTTTGAACTTGGAGCCCTTACTCACTCACTGTTCACTTAGTCACCTCAAGAATTTTTTCTTCTGTATTATTTAAAATTTATTTATTTTTGAGAGTGAGAGAGAGAGAGAATCCCAAGCAGGCTCGTGACTGTCAGTGAGGAGTCTCATGTAGGGCTCAAACCCACAAACTGTGAGATCGTGACCTGAGTTGAAATCAAGAGTTGGATGCTGAACCAACTGGGCCACTCAGGGCCCCCTCTTCTGTATTTTTAAAAAAATTGTCACTTAACTTTCCAATGCCAGTTATCTTTTAAATTTTGTTTTGTTTCTCCCAAGATGGGATAAATTAGGTTATTTGTTAATTAAGCCATTCAATTTGAATATTGGTCAGTATAGACCAGGTTATGCTGCAATAATCAAATATGCCTCATATCTCGGTGTCTTAACAGAACAGGGGTTTCTTTCTCATCCACCCTCCTTACCCAGTGAGGAGCTTGCCCGTCATGGTTTCTCAGAGACCCAGGCTGACAGACGCTCTAATGACTCACAGGTGAGCTCCATACAACAGGTCTTAAGTTACTTAGATCAGATGTGACTCTCATCACTCCTACTCACAGCCTTTTGACCAGAAAAACTGGTTCCGCCTAATTGCAAGGAACTGGGACATTGGAATAGCACATAGATATTGAAGCAAACTATTTATACCGTGAATAATATGACAGATAGTTACATAAATGGGGACTTTACCTAGTATGGGACCTCACAGAAGATAGTTTTAAGACAGTAGCTGTTGCATGCAGCTGAAAGATGTCATACAATTTATTTGCATATTGAGAATAGGGACCTTATCGCTATGATTTAATTTAAGATGAAACCTCGATTCAGTGCCAAACCATAACAAGCTTATTTTTATGCCTTGGCATTAAGTATCAACCAGTGGTGATTCTTGTGTACACAAAGCCATTATTTTTAAAACTTCTCTGCAAAGTCTTAAAAGATTTTCATCGATCCCAAGATGACTATGGACGTCATTTCCTTATTGAATATGTGTTTGATGTCTGGTTAGAAAGAAATGTCACTTTTTTAGCATCTCTTACTAGCAACCCATTGTGACACTTGGTATGTCACTCCATCTGTACGGAAGGATTTTCAGGTCAGGAGTGCACGTCTCAGTCTCCCCCGGCCCCCCCCCCCCGCCCGACAAGATCTACCATCCGTTAATGAAATGTTTTCATGAATCATGACTAGAGTGTCTCTCTCAGATGTAACTGAAATAGCACAGCCTATTCGGGTTTGAAAAGATAAAGCTGTGTGTGAACTTATTATGCAATAAACAATAGCTTCATGTTCATTATGTTCAAATCAGGGTTGGTAGACTTGCATTTGGACACATCAAAGAGTGGGGACACATCACAGCTGGGTTACTTTTTAAGATGTAGATTTGTGGGAAGTTAGGCAGGCTTTTGATAGGCACTGCTAAAGTCCAAATAGCTGTTCTTTTTATGGGGGAGGGGGGGATTTAAATGTAATTTTTATTAATCAAGAAAAAGTGTTTTAATCTGAAAAGTTTGACACTCTCCCAATCTTTATCTATCCATGGTACCTTCTTCTCAGTCAGGCTACATCTTTTACAGCAAAGAGCTGTTCCTAATTAGGGTTCAAATAATATTCCTGTTGCCTTTTAAAGCCAGAATTGCTAATGGAAACTTTGAAAATACGTTTTCTTGTTCTGTGAAATAAGATTTTAGAAAGAATCTCTGTAATTTGTATGTGTGGCAGATACCTGGAGTATCTAGAACTCTTTCTTCCTTCTTACCTCCTCCTTCTTCCTCTTCTTCTCTTCTTTCCCTTTTTTTTTTTTTTTTTTTTTTTTTTTTTTCTTCTTTTTTACCTTGGGCACAGATTGGTGATGTAAACACTCATTAAGCATTAATGTTCAGGGACATCATTATCATTGGCCCTCAAATGGCTTTTGTCTCGTTTGTTGGTGAGCAGGACTTCCATTGATGCGTGGACTTCCATTGATTCTAACTGTCACACAGTAGACCATGGTGCATATCTGCTGTGAATTGCCTTCCCAGCAACGGGAACCAGGTCATCTCCAACACCCTGCCCCCACAAACAATGCTTCAGCGAAGATCCTCATGCATGTCTCCTAATGGCCATGCATCAGAATTCCCGTGGCATTAGTTCTAGAGTAAAAATGTAGGACTTCTCCGTGGCATATTACTCTCTGAAGTTGGTGTCCAGCTCTGTATTGCAACCCCCCCTCCCCATCCTTCTGAATGCTTAGGCGGCCATCGTCTTAGCATCACTGGATCTTGTCTCCTGGCCTCGGCTGGTTTGATCAGGAGCCAACATTGACTTCATGATGGGCCAATGAGTTCCATCCCAGGGCATTAAGACTCAGTTAAGGAGGGATTCATTTGAGGGAAGAAGGAATTTCAGTGCAAGTCAGAGCAGCAAGATAAAAGCCCAGCTCTACGGACAGAACACCCTTGTCAAAAATTAGGAAGACGAAGAAATGTGATGAATATGAGGATGCCCTGGGCTCAGTGGATTCCTGGCTTAGAAGCCTGCAGACAGGCCTCCCCCATTTCAAAACCCCCTGTGCCACAGCAGTTGGTACCAGAACCATGTGGCGAGCAATGATCCAGTTTCAGCAAAACATCATCATCTCTCGCATGAAATTAATGATGTTAATTTGAATGTTATTGCTTTTGTAGTTCTCCTTGTAATTAATTTGTAAATTTGTTTTGGTTTCATAACTGTAAACGAGCCATGATCATAAGGACTTCATACCTAATTTTATGTTTCTTTATATTTGAGTAGCAACGCAATAACAAAACAAAACAAAACAAAACAAAACAAAACAAAACGAAACGAAAAAAAACAAAAAAAACCAACTAAGATCAACCCTGAAGGGGGTCCCTTTGTTTCCTGAAAGTGTATTTTCCAACTCAGGCCAGAGAAGTACTGCTCAAATCTGATCTCAGAGTTGGCTCTTGGGTCCAACGTCAGGGCACATGCATTTATTCCTGTTTGAGATCACCCTTTTAGGTTTCAGTCCCGACGATCTTTTTAATCTTCATTCTGTCATCCAATAGATTGCTTTCCTTCCAGCTTCATGCCTTTGGCAGATTTCAAAGGCATGCTACCAGCCAATGTTCTCAGTTGCGAGCAACAAAGTCAACTCTGGCTGAGGTAAGTAGAGAAATGGTTGATTGCCAAGATGGAGGGTGGCTCACAGGTTCACTGGGAAGGCCACAGAAACTGGGGCCATGGCAGAGAAAGAGTAGTCTGAGCACCAAGAAAGATGCCGTCACAAACCAGGGGGCAAAACCCGACTATGGAGGATGTCACTGTTCTTATGCCTGGGTGGCCCAACCTGCCTGGCCCGTGGCCTTGGATCGTGGACACAGGCCCCGTGGTGTGCCAGTGCTGCCCAGAAACCCAGAGGCTGCTGCCACGGCCCATCTCCTGCCACCAGAAAGGATTTGCCTCTGTCACTTCTCTGAGTTCCCATGCTCTGGCTCAAAACTAGGGGTGCATTAGCCTGAGTGGCTCGGCCTAGCTTACCTACCTGCACCCAAGATGGGAATGCAAGTATCTGGTACTTTCAGGACCTAGTATTGGAGGTGAGCTCTGCCTCCCATCAGGGCTTGTTATGGAAGCAATTCCCCTAACATAAGAAGGGGGTTCAGATGCCAGGCAGGGAAAGCAGGAAATTTACACTCTCCATGCCTATTATATCTTTATCCAGGTAATTGTCAAAAATGGAACATAGGACCAGGGCGAGACAGGACAGCTAGAGTTGGCAAGAGGCCTTCCTCCTGCCACTCTGTCCATATTGATGACCAGCAGGATGAATCCAGGGGTGGGACCAGGCAGCATCTGATGTTTGCCCAGTGCTATCAGCCTTATGCGCAAATCATAATTTTGGGTTTTCTCCCAAACTCACATTCCCGAAAGGAGGAGGAGTGAGGAGATAGGGGGGAGAGCGTGTTAGTTCTTGTTTTGTTTGAGTTCTTTCATCTGGCTAGATGCATTGCCAGTATCATGTAAATCAATGGCTTTTTTCATTACTGCAATAAAATTTGCCTTTGTACCTGACTCCCCAAGGAGTTGGAACATAAGCAGAGCTCCAAAATTCACACTTCACCACACTCGGGCGCAATGTCTTTGTTAAGACTCTGTTTGATCATTTTGCTTTTGATCTGCCTGCTTGGATGGAAAGAACCATCCAAGTCTGCCGAGGGCCCTTCTATAGCAAACTCTCTGAGAGGGTCCTCTTAGGACCCATACAAGTTCCCCCTGGAAGTATTTCTTGTTAACGTTGGCTCATCACTCAATCATGCCTTGCTCTATGGCAAAACTGCCAGACTTTGCAAAGCTGGAATGCATGGGAAGTTCAGGGTATGCTTCAGCACACCTGTCTCTGAGCAATGAGGTGTAGGGTGAGGTGGGAGGTAGCTGGTTGATGAGGGGTTTGGGAATTACATCGGCTGGTAGCTGGTCAACTAAAGACAAGTTCTTCCCCCCTCTGGAGAGCAAGAGAGAGAAGGGAGCCCAGGGAACACTATTTTCCTTCACTTTCACGAGGGAATGCTAAAGTTACAGACGTGAAGGGAGCCCAGCAGATGTTAATCAAATGCATGTATCTAAACTAGTTATCTATATATTTACAGACAATAATGGATCACCGAGATTTATAACAGCAAATGTAATCTCAGACCAAAATGCAGGCAATTGCTCGGCTTTCACTTGGAATGAATTATAGAAGCCAAAGTCTAAATATGGTAGGGGAAGATCCCAAGAGAGCTGGATAGTATCATAAACATGCTTGAATTATAGCTCCTCCGGGGCTGCTTACCCGGCGGTCCTGCAGGCCAGCAAGAACCTTTATACGGTAAGAGGCAGCTGCCAGCACTCAGGGCTTGGGCGAGTCCAGCCTGGCATCCTTCCTTCTCGAAGAGGTGGTCCCATCCCCTCGGGCTGCATTGAAGTTTGGGGCAGCCCACAGAGCCCCCTTCAGGCTGAGATGCTCTAGTTCCCAAACACTGAATTAAAAAGGATCTGACCCATCCTCCCCCTACCCCATCCACTTTTTTTCCCCCCATATGGATAACCATTTATTGAATTGCCCATTCTTTCTCCAGTGATCTGCAATACTGTCATATATCAGTTTCTATACATTTGAGGCTGTTTCTAGGCACTTTCGTTCTGTTAGTCAATTTTGCTATCCTTAAGAAAATAAAATATGTATGGAAGGGTAAAGTCCCAAGAAGAGTAGAGGAACACTAAAAGAGACTGGAGTGGGAGTGGGGGATTGACTTTTCCATTAGATTAGCAAGGAAGTCTTACAAAACGATGGTAATTAAGATCGTATGATACTGGTACACGGATAGAAAAATTGACTAACACCCCAACCACTTCTACTCAACTTGAAAAGGAAGATGGGTCACCTGAAAATGAACATGCCTGTGTTTATTCAGTGGATAACTGAGGCATCTTCTAAGATGAAGTGGACCACAATCGGTAGAGAGATGTCCAGGCAGTTGTTAGCATTTAATTATTTTTGAATGATAAAAAGTTGCCCCCAAATATGATTTCTTAATTATGTTGTAGAAGCTGCACTTGGATTAGGCCTTTACATGTGGATAGAAGTTTCCCTGGAAAATTTCTTGCCTTTTAAGCTGGAAACAAAAGCGGTTCAGCATTTGTTTGTTGCATTCACCATCAAATACTAAGGTACTTTGATAAGAAATCCTTTTATCCGTCCATGTTTAATAGAATTGGAAGTGGAGAGATAGGAGAACTGAGCCTGCTCAGGGTTGCAACTATCTCGTGTCAGAATACTTGGATAATCAGAATGATTATTATTACATATGTGATAAACAAATTAATCACGTGTAAGGGAAATTAATCACGTGTTGTTCTCTCTTCAACAGTAGATGATAAGAAGCCAGGTCAGAAATGTTTCTTCTAGTTATTTGGGTAGCCATCTGTCCTGGGTCTTTTTTTTTTTTTTTTTTTAGTTTTTTAAAATGTTTATTAGTTTTGAGAGAGCGAGACAGACAGAGCATGAATGGGGGAGGGGCAGAGAGAGAGGGAGACACAGAATCCGAAGCAGGCTCCAGGCTCTGAGCTGTCAGCACAGAGCCCCACCCAGGGCACAAACCCATGAACTGAGAGACAATGACCTGAGCTGAAGTCCGACTCTCAACCCACTGAGCCACCCAGGCTCCCCTGTCCTGGGTCTTTGTGTGCATGCCTTTGGTTCACTCTCATTCATTCTAGGCAGTGGAGAAGGAGCTCAGAAGGGTTTTCTGGGTATAAGGTTGGTGAGAACAGGATCCTCTCTCTGAGATTTTCTCAACTCCACCTTTAACTTGTAGTCAGGTCATTTACACTCTGCTGCCGACTACATGGAGTCATAGCTAAGCAGTCAGTCTCAGACAGGAGTCCCATCTATTACTGAGGGGCTGTGGACCCAGAGAAGTTAGCCCCCACATTTCATCTATTTATTGTATAATGAGAGCATAAGTGGCACCTTACCCATAGTTCACTAATCTAGAACGCATGGCACATACTAAATTCTCAGTAAACATCCTTTATTATTATTTAATCCTCCGTTACTTGGCACAACGATTAAGAAGACACAGATATATTAGCGATCATTCATTTCTGTTATAAATATGAAAAGACTCTCAGATGTTTAATAAAAATAATATTCAGTATTGTTTTTTTATGCCTTAATTTAGGAATAAGTAGTATTCTTAGATCATGCTTAGTGCAAGAAGGGTGAGAACTCTTTTTTTTTTTTTTTAAGTTTATTTATTTTTGAGACAGAGAGAGACAGATCATGAACGGGGAGGAGCAGAGAGAGAGGGAGACACAGAATCGGAAGCAGGCTCCAGGCTCTGAGCCATCAGCCCAGAGCCCAACGCGGGGCTCGAACTCACGAACCGTGAGATCGTGACCTGAGCTGAAGTCGGACACTCAACCGACTGAGCCACCCAGGCGCCCCGGGTGAGAACTCTTTTAATGCAACAGTTTAGAAGCATTCAAAAACTTTTTTTAACCAGAACAACAAAACCCTCTGCTTAAAACCAAAGTGATATATTTTTATTTTTCAGTCTTCAGAACATTGGAGTTGATAAATTCAGGCACGCTAATTTCTTTTAGGTTTTTGCTATATTCCAGAAATATGTATCTATCAAACTTCCAAATCTAAGGTCAAGTCTGCTTACAACACAGTTTTGTAAGGCTATCTTCCCAACAGATGGATTCTCTTAGCATGGGCTTCGGGTTATGCCTTTCAAATATACATATTTCAAATATACATATTTCAAATATACATATACATATGCTTATGTATTTGAGGGCTTGGAGGTTCTAAACATTTATTTCCCCCACCTAACAAAATAATTTATTCCAATTCCTATTCATTCCCCCAAATATTTTGATGGTTTGAAAAGAGCTTTTATTAGAGATACAACTAGGAAAGAGGAATGAATACCATCAAATGCAACCTAACTGCTTACAATGTTACTGCTTTGAGCCTCCTTGCAGTGTAAACGAAAAGGAAAATGAGATTAGTTACAATCTGCACATTGTTTTAAAATCTAAATGCCCACTAGCTGTTTACGAGGAGCACATTTTGTCCTGGTCCTGAGGCCGGAGAGAAACTTCCCCATTGGGTCTCATAAGGATAAAATTATGTAATATAATTTTTAAATATTAAAAAATATCCCTGAAATGAATGCAGTATTGAATTTTATATGATTGTCCTTACATAAGTGGAAGGCATGATACAAAACCACAGTTCAATAAAACTAATGCCATAAAAAGCCAATGCAAAAACAAGTGATCTAGGACCCATGTGCCACGTGAGGCTGCCCTTCTTCTATCATGAACCAAAATCTAGTTCCAGAAAGCATTAAGTAAGGAGATGACTTACCCCAATCCACAGCCAGATTGGTGACAGAGTCAGAACAGATAGGGCTTTCTTCCATTGAGACCAACCTAGCAGCACTCCTTACCCAAAATCATCAGCTGTAGGACATATAATACTTTCTGTCCACGAGGACTTTCTCCAATGACTGGGATGACCTTCTGCTCTTCTATGATCTTCTGCGTGGAGCTACTTGATACTATTCAATATGGCAGCCACTAGCCCCGTATGCCCATAGAGTATGTGAAATAGTTAGACTGAGGAACTGAGTTTTAAGTTTTATCTATATTTAATTACTTTAAATTTGAAAAACCACAGTGGCTAGTGGCTACTTTATCAGACAGTGCAGCTCTAGAGCACCATGAGGTGGCCACCAAACTTAGCTTATTCCTGCTCTGACTCTAGGCCCCTTGTGTTGCAAGGATGATGGGGAATGAGAAATGTTGGGGCACATGAGTGAGATGCCTTAATTGGTCCAAACATCTGCACTGGTCATGGGTCATAGGGCCCTCAGAGCCCTTCAAGCCCTCAAAAAGGGCTGCTTCTGCTGTACCCATCCTGATGGCTATGCTTGGAGAGAGGATATGAGGAGATCAATCTGGGATTGAGGGGCTTGACAAGAGCCGGCTAGGGTCCACAATGGCGGCTCTGAGCTCCAGGCTCAGCTTCCTCCTTGTTTCCCTTTGTCCTCCTCAGGCATGAGACGTGGAGTTCCTCCGCTGAGGAATAATACCTCCTATTTCATTTTTGTTAGGCTGCTTACACTACAATTCATAAGCTTACAATTTTTCAGAAATTTAAAAATAATATTTTAAATAATAGTTTCCAAAATTCTAAGTTAACAAAAAATAATGGTAAGAGGTAATAAGCAAACCTCATTTCATAATACAGTTCCAGTTAAGGGAAGTAAAAATAAACCAAATTCCATAGTGTCTTACTCAACAACAAAATGTGTTTAAAGGGCAACAAATGACAAGTTACTCCAGAAGGTACCAGTAATTTCTGAAATCTTAACTCCCAAAAGGATATTGTTTGGTGATGCAGAAGTAATGAGAGAATATTTGGGAACAGTGGCAAATATTGCATCATTATTTGAAAATATATAAATTTAAAATGCTTGTAACATTTTTTTTTCAAAAATATTTTTTGTCGTGCAGAAAAATGACTTGCTCAGAAATGGACCAGTGTAATGCAGCTCAGGTAAAAACCTTTTTTATACTCTGGCTGAAACCAGGGATTTCCCTAAATATAATTATGTGATTTTTCATAATGATCGTAAATATTAAAGTGAATGAAAAACCATTACTCTCCCTTTTGTACTAATGTATTGTGTTAGCTAAAGAAAGGGATGTCAGATTCAAGTCTAATTACTTCTATTTCATTTCTGCTATATTTCTGTTTTCTTTATTGTTTTGTTGTCTGGGCTCCCAACCATTTCCTAAAAGATGCAATATTTCTTTATCAACTAGCAACAGAAACGATGAAAATAAATAATTCCTTATAAATTAAATGAAGTCAGTCATGAGAGGAGAGTGAAAGAAATTATTGCTCTCTTCTAACAGCAAGCATGTGGGGTGAGGGAAAAGATGTATTAAATAAGAATATTTAGTACAGGCCTTTCTGACTGCAAAGTCCTCCTGCTGAGAATTTCACACGCACCTGGGAAATAGTCAGTTAGGGCAATAGTTTCCTCAACTTGTCCAAAGAGCTTGCCCCTATATATATTTCCTGCCACTCTCACTTTTTGGGTAAGGGTTATACAGGTTTATCATGGACTGTTGAGTACCGCCCCTCTTTTTTGTTTTACGTTGAAATAGAATTGACATTTACCAGTGTGTAAGTTTACAGTGCACAACATGTTGATTTGGTACGATTCCCACCATAGCATTAGTAGCACTTTTATCAGGTCACAGAATTATTTGCTGTTGTGTGTGTGTGTGTGTGTGTGTGTGTGTGTGTGGTAGGAATACTTAAGATTTAGTCTTTTAGGTACTTTGAAGTTTAAAATATAGTATTTTTGACTGTAACTGACTATATCACTGTATCTCATTTGTTCTCAAGTTTTAACGTGCATCAACTTTATCGACGACACTCACAACATTTAAAATTATGTTCATGAGGGGCGCCTGGGTGGCCCAGTCGGTTAAGCGTCCGACTTCAGCTCAGGTCACAATCTCACGGTCCGTGAGTTCGAGCCCCGCGTCGGGCTCTGGGCTGATGGCTCAGAGCCTGGAGCCTGCTTCCGATTCTGTGTCTCCCTCTCTCTCTGCCCCTCCCCCGTTCATGCTCTGTCTCTCTCTGTCTCAAAAATAAATAAAAACGTTAAACAAAGTTAAAAAAAATTTTTAAATTATGTTCATGAGGTCTTGTGTTTGTATTTTCTTTTCTGGATGGAAAGTCCTAATCCTCTCCGTATTATTTCTGGGAAGGGATTCTGCTTTCTGACATTTTCTTGAGCAGTTTGAAATTGAAGAAGTAGATATTTGGAATCTATTTTTGCACGATGGGGGTCTCAGCTTTATGAGGAGGCCAGAAGGTAGTGTCCACCCCAAAGTTTGGTGGGTACAAGGTTAGTTTTGATAATGCTATGTAGCACTGAATCCTGGTTCTGCTACTGCATACCCTGGGAGGATAGCTTCACCCCTCTCTGCTTTGGGTTTCTCATGTATAAAACAGGGCTATCTTTCTCATAAATGAGAGTGTGAGGTTTTCATTGGGTAGGAAGTCCCAGTGAAACGTCCTGACCCATAGCAATCACTCACTCAATAAATGATAGCCCTAGAGTCCCAGGCTAGAGTGATACAACCACTCTAAGGGAACAGAGACATCACTGAGCAAACAATGTGGTCTTTCCTTCCTACGTGCAATTCTCAACAGAGTAGTTCAGACAGTGGTGGCTGACAGGCCAAAACGGTGTCACTGAGACTGACTTCTCAAGCCAGGGCTTAATATATCAGCTAATTGCAGTCTGGACCTCCCCCAGAAATGTGGTCTTAATTGATCGGTCAGGAATTTTTCAACCAATGCCAATGAGTCTGCCACTTGGGTCCTCTCCATCTGCCCCCCACGAAAGATGAGGTCATCGGCATGATAAGACCCCTTGCCTTTCCCTTAAGAGAAAGCAGCCTTGTCTGAAACAGTCCTTTCCTTTTGCTAATAGCTTCCTAGCCCCACCCTCCTTCTATAAAAACCTCCCATTTTGTACAAGTCCTTGGAGCACCACTCTACTCGCTAGATGGGATGCTGCCCAATTCATGAATCGTTTAATGAAGCCAATTAGATATGTTTTTTAAAGAGAAAGAAAAGAAAGTGATGGCCAGGCCGTTCCAGTTCCTGTGGGTTCTTGGCTGGTTGAGAGAGTGCACTGCCTTTATACACAAAGAACAACGTCGCTTCTTGTACAATACGGGTGCCGTGCTCTCTCTGCTTCAGAATGCAGTAGGCATTGCCCACTCTGCTGGCACTGATGGTGGGGGAAAAGCCGATGTTCCTCTTCTCTCCTTCTTCTCCCCCGTAATGTGTTTTCTTCTCCTGCCTGGATCTCCATAGGATTCTTTTTGAAATTGGGGTTCTGTAAACTTATCCAAATGTGTCTCAGTGTTGTCCATTCTGTATCATTTTTCCCCCAGGATGCAGGTTTGTTGAATGAATGAATGCATTCATTCAGCAAGTAGATATTAAGCACCTACTGTGTGCTGTGGATATGTCAGTGAACAAAACAGACACACACACACACACACACACACACACACACACACATCCTTACAGAGATGATATTCTCATGGAGAAAGCCGATCAGTAAACATAATATAAAGAGGGTATAATAGTGTTTTGAAGGGGCATCAGTGCTCTGGAAGAGTGTAAAGGGCCTGCAGGATAGAGGTGGGCTGCAATTTTAAATAGGTTGGTTCAGGTAGGCCTGACTGGAAAGCCACATTTGAGCTAAGACTTGAAGGAGATGAAGGTGAGAGCCATGTTGTTATCCTGGAGGATGACAGGCCAAGCAGAGGGAGAGGGAGAGTGGAGGGGGAAGCATCAAGGAGGCCTTCCTGGTGGCAGTGGCAAAGAGGGGAGGGGAGGAGAGAGAGGGGATGTTAAAGAGTCCGGGAGGCTCTATCCCACAGGACCCTGGGGTTAGTTTGACATGAGTGACATGAAAGCCACTGCAGGATTTTGAGTCAAAGAAGAACCTGATCTGCCTTGTGCTGTAAAAGGAACATTCCGGCAGCTGTGTTAAGAATAGACTAGGATACAGGAAGATTCATCTCCTCCTTTTCTTCAGAAACACTTTTTAAAAATTCATTATATCTTTCATTGCTTTTGTTCAATTTATCCTGGCATGTTCTTCAGAAGTAAGAGTTACACATATCTTGGGTCTCTTGGTCAGTACCTCATATCTATCATCTATCACTTCTACAGACCCCTGCTTTCCCAATTTTTTGGTAACGATTTCTCACATGTCTTCTCTGTTTATTTACTCACTGACAGGTAGTTCTCCAGAGATTTGAGTATGTTAGTCACTGCACTATGATTGAAGGTACAGAGGGGAGCAGATGACAAAGCCCCTGTGGTATAGACGCTCACCTACCAGCGGAGCCGACAGACAACTCACCACGGAGATAAATACACATGGTGATTTCATACTCAACAGTGCCGTAGAAACACAAAATGGGAGGAATATTCTAGAAGGAGATGGCAGAGGAGCTTTAGACCCTTGGGTCAAAGGGGGTCTCCCTGAGGTGATCTCCAAACTGAGACCCAAGTGATAAGAAGAAACCAGCCATGTCCCTTGGCAGGCAGAGATCCATGGAGGCAACCGGAAGTAAAAAGAAGGGAGAAACGGGAATGGGCTTGCCATGTTTGAGGAGCAAAGAGAAGCCAGCAAGGACGGAGCAAGGGAGCGGCGGGGCAGCAACATCAGAGAAGTAGGCAAGGAGGGAAATTGGACTTCATATTCATGGTGAGGGTGGTCAGTGGGGGATTTTGAGCAGGACATCAATGTGCTATGATTTACATTTGGCAGAAGGCCAGGGAAGGGCAGGCTTTCTTAAACGAGACACGAAAAGCAAATCATAACAGAGAAGATGTATACATCGCACTGCATTAAAATTTTTAAAAAAACCCACTATCAAAAAACATGATTTAAAAAATGAGTCTACAACCATAAAACCAACCAGTGATGAGTATGTAGAATATAGAAATATTTTTCCTAAAAATCAACAGGAAGGAAAAAAGTCAACAGAAAAATGGGTTGAAGATATGAAAAGGAAAATAGAAGTTAATAAGCAGGAAAAGATGCTTCCCTGTGACTGGTACTTAGACTCAAAAAGGTACAAGAAACTACTTCACACCCATCCGACTGTTAAAAATTATTA